AGCTCTGAACCGAATAGAAAGAGCAAAAATCCGGTGCCGACAAAAAGTATGACATCAATATATTAATAAATTGTACAGCAGAGACGCCCTATCGCGTCAATGACTGGGTTTGGGATCTATTGAAAAATAGGCTCATAGTTTCTTTTCAGTCGATGCATAAATTGGAGAAATACGATGCACTATCGGTGATGATTGAACTCTGAGGGTTTCACTAATGCTACATGAGCTATGATATCTAGATATTTACTGAATCGCAGATAAATTGGTCTTTATGATCACACAAGTTTGCGAAATAACGAAATTCCAACTTTTTTTCGAGAATAATATGAGAACTGAATATAAAAGTTAACCAAGTAGATTGATCAATTCATCAAATACAGCTTAGTGACATTTTCAGGATTTTCTAACAACCTGTGTGTTTCTTCTATGGGCCGAAATAATCAGAGAGTATAAAAACATCAAATAACAAATTTTCGCATTTTAATCTCCGTCAACTATACTGCGTCAAAAAATAATAGCAAGTTGGAAAACATTCAAAATATTAAGTTTGTTGGCATTCTCAATCATTCCCTTTTTACTTGCTCCTGCGCTACCATTGCTGAATTATTTCATAGCAGTACAAAATCGTATTAGTTTCCGAGCAGTAGCTGTCAAACTATAGAAACTTACGACCTCCTAGCGGGTTCGTTGGAGTTGTTCATACACAAAACAGTCATCCTCATCCAAAATATGTTTGATGCATAATATAATTAAGCACTTACTCCACAGCTCGAGTTATATTGGTACTCTCAGCCAGAGTGATTCTGCTGGTCCTACACTGATATTACTCCAATACTAGCTAGGTTTCTGCACAGCTTCGCATGATGTTTCATGATCTCTGTGTACCTACCTATAATAGGGTTTTATAAAAGGGTTCCGAGTCATCACAGTGGGAGAATACGACTATAAATTAGCAGTTGGTACACTTCAAAAGTGAAGCTTTTCATTTTACGATTCCGGTTAAATGGGCATTAAGCCATACCCTCAGTTGTGGTAGTTCACAATAGTTATTAAACATTTTTACAAGGTCTTTTTTAGTTTGACCGTGTATGTATGTACAGGGTGCGGCAGAGAGGATGGACGGTTTTAAAAAAATCATAAAGTAGTTAATTTTTACTCGAAAACAAATTTATTGATGGAATCAGGTTCACAAGGAAATAGCATTTGAGACAGTCAAGTATGGAAAATCACATCAGGCATGTGGTGGCCGAAATCGTTGATGCAGTGCTGGAGGCGTTCTTGGAAGTTCGCGTAGACTCTCTCTAATATCGCTCTCTCAACTTGGGCGACTTCCACGCGAATTTCGTCCAGAGTTCGGGGCTTGTTCGCGTATACTCTAGCCTTGAGGTGTCCCTATAAGAAAAAATCGCATATGGATAAATCTGGGGACCGAGGAGGCCAATGAACATCGCCAAACCTGGAAATAAGGCGACCAGGGGAGAGAGGGCGAATAACGTCCATGGATGCTCGGGATGTGTGGGCGGTCGCCCCATCCTGCTGGAACCACACACGTCGCATTGGAACACGTCGCCGTCGTAATTCAGGGAGAAAGAAGGTGGTGATCATGTCGACGTAACGCTCTGAGTTCACCGTAACATCACGACCATTACCGTCTTCGAAGAAGTAATGGCCAATGATGCAAGTTTGCGATACAGCGCACCAAACCGTTACTTTTGGGCTGTGCAGCGGTCTTTCGTGTAACTGTTGCGGATCTTTATTAGCCCAATAACGACAATTCTGCTGGTTAACCATGCTGTTTAGGTGAAAGTGGGCTTCGTCAATCATAGGCGAAAACGCGGTGCTCCACCGTCCAAGGCTCCAAAGCGACAACTGGTAAAATAATGCTAGGATCTCACGAGTCAAACGGCACCCTCCCCACCTCTCTCGTAGACGGGGGCGGAGAGTACTACCCATCCCAAAAACGTCCGTCCTCTCTGCCGCACCCTGTATATGTAGGAAAAATCTTGAAACTAAATTTTGAATCAGTTAACTTTAACCAATTGAGCTGAACTTTTAATGAACTGCCGCAATCATGCATCCAATATGGCTCGTGCTACAAAATGACGATACATCATTTTCATAGCATTTTATGGGTATGAACCGGAACGGCTTGATGAGTGAACCACAATAAGCAAAGTGGCGTTATCCTTAATCCAATATGGCGGCCGCCCCAAATAGCAATTTACGACAGTCATCTGTATGATATGGGTATCAAATAGGAGGGCTTGATGGAAGAAACACAATAGGTATAGCGGTGTGTGTCCAGCATGGTGGCCGCCGTAACATGACAATTTACATTTCTTACAGTCCTATTCCATGAGTATCAAATAAAAGAGCTTGATGAGAGAAATGCAAACAAAGACACATGACAACAGCGCGTCGATCTTTCATCACTCTTATCGAACCGGCAATCGATCGCAAACGGTAACAGTGGTTAGTTATTGTTCACGTTCGTGTTTATTTACAATGTTCTCGAATCAAGAGTTCGCCGACATGTTGTTAGTTTATGATGAAGCTCGTCAGAATTCAAATCTTGCAGCTCAAATTTATCGCGACAGATTTCGCCAACGGATACACCCAGACAGAAGGTCATTGGTGTAAGTGTATCAAAGAATCCGAGATACAGGAAGTGTTCAGCCCACTAATATTCGCACTCGTGAAAGACAGGTTAATGTAGAGTAGGAGGAAGGAATTCTAAATATCGTGGAAATCAATGCAGATATCAGCACTCGGGAATTAGGCCGCCGCGTAGGACTATCGCATACCATACATAGTCTATAGAATCCTTCGGGAAAATATGCTTTATCCCTACCACGTACAACGAGTGCAGGACTTGTTACCAGAAGAGTATCCTCGCAGACTAATATTCTGCCAGTGGTTTTTGCACAAAAACATTGAAAATCTGGATTTTTTTAAAAACATTCTGGCGACGGATGAATGTACTTTTACGCGGGACGGGATATTAAATTTCCATAATACTCACAAGTGGGCCCAAGAAAATCCTCATACCATTCGTGAAAGTCCTAATGAAGCTTATGCGGAAAGCAGAGGACGACATTTTGAACACCCTCTTTAAATACAAAAAAAGTGCAGTGTGGGTTTTAAAAAGAAAGACAATGTATCTATCAGAATTATGTTCCCTATTTATAAGTGGATTTTTTCAATGCGTTCAATAAACTTTCACAAACCAGGTGAAGCGCTGGGACAGTTAGTGGTAAGTCCGTTTTTTTAACTGATTGCATTTTATGGGTACATTATCAAATAATGAAATAATACCTAAGGCCCGTATCGTCAGTCGTCCATACAATTGTAGGGCGCGTTTATGGCCTCCTTGATTGTCATACTCCTTTCTCTCCTTCAAAAATGTCTAGATTACACTTGTCCCGTATCAGCGTCAGCGCTCTCCTATTGTGAAGATATGTTTTCTTTTTAAATTGTAGGAAATTTCAGGCAGATAAAACATGATATAACTCAAAAGCAAACACAATTTGATGCAAATAGATGTTTGTGACATAACCTCAAAATAGAGTTCGGACACGGAGAAGTAGAAAACTATGACAATCAAGGAGGCCATAAAGGCGCCCTACAATTGTAGGGACGACTGACGATACGGGCCTAAGAGTCAAAAATAACAAACTACATCTTTATTTACAATGCGTTCCGTTATAATTTGTGTCTGGCATTGCGGCTTTGTCAGATTTTATTATTATTACCGATTGCATTATTTTTAAGTTTCCTAATGCTGTATAGAAGTTTCTTACGGAGATAAAAATCAAAAAAATTGCATCTAAAATTGGGAAATCATTGAAAATCTAATGACTATTTAAGCTACGCGCGTTTGACAGTTTGCTTGCAGAGTTGACAGTGCTGCCAACGTATTTTGTTAGCCACATGGCGGTACAAACACTTTGCTATACAGTTACCTATATTCTATATATTTACCCTTTTATAATTCATTATTCATCCCAGTTCATCGTTAAGGCAGGACAACGTCTGTCGGGTCAGCTAGTAACTTCATAAAGATCATTTAAAAACATAATAAATAACAATACCGACTCGAAAATACACCTAAGATAGTAGTTTATTCATACAAAAAATAGCCTCGGATACAAAGTTGCCTAATTTCGTGGAAAACGTCCTTCGAAGTACATTACGGATATGCGGGATGCTCAACTCCCTCATTCGACAAAAAATTACAAAACAGAAATTAAGTACGTTTACCCCACAACTAAACCCCGACTTGCCCTCCGGTTTTTCTGGCAAGATTAATGAAAATACCAAAGCGTAGATAATGTCGTAATTAAAAAACTTCCGAATCCAATATGGCGACCGCCCCAAGATGGCCTTCCAGTCAGACCCAACTGCCTTAGGCCCCCCAACCTAGCCGTGTCGAACTTCCTACATTCAGAACTGGTCGATACGACAGCTCCTTTGACCCTAGGCTATCCACATTGTGGAACAATCTACCTGAGAAGGCTTTTCCACTTCTACTACCCTTAGTCAGTTCAAAAATCCGATTAACAATGTTTTTTAGGGTCCTCACAGCTGCCGCGGTTACTTAGGCTTCTGTCTACACTGCTGCTTCGGTATATAAAGAAATGACGTCACTACATCCTTACAAAGGATAACAGAGTTCTTATTCAAACCGATTATATGTTTCAATTACTGTCTAATGTGCGTCGGTTTTCAAGTAGCTGTCATTAATTGTCATTGCAGTGATAAAAGGCCGAAACCTCATACAGTAAACAGCAATTGAAGCATATGTTTCAATTAGAGGCCAGGCAATGAAGACCTATCAACGTAAAAGGAGGACAAGTTTCAGGTGTTACGTACAATTTCGTTTCTAGGAGGATATTTTTATTTTCTGTATACCTTACGCCGTCGAAAATGACGTTCTTCTTTTGACATCAACCCAACGAAATATATATTGAGCACAAATACACCCACTTTCGGGATTTGGTAAAGCGTTATGCGGCTCCGGCATAGAAATCTACAAAACATTATTTCGGTTTCGGTACAGGTATACGGAACGGTGGATAATGTGATTGAACGTCAAGTGCACTCTCAAGGTACATTTTTCATTTTATATTATTGGTTTTGTATGACAATCTGCCGAAGAAAAATCCGATATATTTTTGCGGGTAGGTATATCGGATATCGCAGAATAGATCATGGTGGGTAAAGGCAGTCTCGGATAGGAGAGCTAGTTTTGCTTTCTGCCGATAGCGGAGTCGCAGAAAACTAGTTGCAATATGCTTCCTACACACAACTTGATATGTAACCGAGCCTGAAAATTATTAGTATTTATCGAAACAAGATTATTCCTGGGTGTCCTTTCTTTCTATGTCTCGTATGCAGGGTTTTTGAAGTTCTACCCTCACCATTGGCATGTTGGAAATGGTAAAAGGTAGGAAGCCGCTTAACACCCATTTAAGTTGCATATTTCGGTAACTAACAAAATGCTGCTTAGAAGGTTTCGAAATTCAAAGAGGGAGACAAAACACAAAATCGTTTCAATTATTACCTGATTTTATTTGTAGTGGGACTTTCTCCTCTGCAGGGTGGTATAATAAAAATTACAGTGTGAAGTTTCGCCGCTTGTCCTCCAGCATCAGCTCTATTTTTTCCCTGATTCTTTCTTAAGGAAGGTGAATATAGTTCTTATAGTTTTAAATGTACGAGGGATGTCTTTTAAGTTTTGCATATAGAACGATAGTAGGCCGTGCGGATCGAACGTCAGTACTGAATCTTAACCTCACTCTTTAGTAAACTTAAATTCAAAGTTTCCCAGTGTTCTCACTACAGTGAATTTTTAAGTGTCACCAAGTCATTAAAAAAATGGAACTCAACCGAGAACATTTTCGCGCTATAATTTATTACAACTTAGAGAGACAATTATCGCAACAAGAATGCCTTGCTCAGTTACTGTCTGTTGTCGGCAACGAAGCGCCACATCAGTCGACAATTTCCCGTTGGTATGGAGAACTCAAACGTGGACGGGTGAGTCTTAGCGACGATTCCAGGGTGGGTGCACCTAAAACGGCAGTCGCCCAGGAAAACGTCGATGCTGTGCGCAAACTCATCATTGAAGATAGGCATGTGACATATCGCGAGATTGAGGCGTCCTTGAAGATCTCAAAGACCTCAATTCAAAAAAATTTACATGAAGAATTAGGAGTAAGAAAATTAGTTTCTCGTTAGATACCCCACCTGTTGACTGAAGAGCAGAAAGCAGCCAGGGTTAATTGGTGTCAAATAACGCTTGACCGTTTCAATTCCGGAAACTCACAAAATATGTACAGCATTAATAGTGGTGATGAATCGGGGATTTACTGTTATGAACCAGAAAATAAACGACAGTCGGCTGTTTGGGCGTTCCAAGGTGAAGAAAAGCCAACAAAAGTCATCCGTTCTCGAAGTGTTTCGAAAAAGATGGTCGCGACATTTGTGTCAAAAGCGGGTCATATTGCAACATTTCCTCTCAAGGATCAAATAACTGTTACTGCGGATTGGTATACCACCATTTGTTTGCCAAAAGTCATCACCGAGCTTCGAAAAATCAACCCCGAAAGAAGAATCATCCTCCACCAAGACAATGCAAGCTCGCACACAGCCCAAAGAACAAGGCAGTATTTAAGGGAAGAAAACGTGAAATTATTGGACCATCCTCCATATAGTGCCGATCTAAGTCCTAACGATTTCTTTACTTTTCCGAAAATTAAAAACAGATTGCGTGGTTAAAGGTTCCAGTCACCAGAAGAAGCAGTTGACGCATTCAAAAATGCGGTTTGGCTCTGCCAGCAAACGAGTGGAATAAGTGATTCGAAAATTGGTTCGAGCGCATGCAGATGTGTATGAATCTTCGTGGAAAATACTTCGAAAAACAATAAAGTCATTTAAAACTACCTACCGTGTTATTTAATTTCCATATGCAAAGCTTAAAAGACATCCCTCGTATAATCTGTATGTTCATAAATTGATCATAATTTTCTATTTCCTCTTAATTTTTGTACAAAGTCATGGCCAACTAAGGAAATACATCGCTGAATATGGGACTGGCAAATTCTGTCCATATGAAAAAACAAGGATAGTGATGGCAGTCGAAAGAAACCTAGAACTGAAAATTTCACTAGGCGGTCTTGTAGAGACGAAAATGTGACAATAACACCATGCAATTTATTTTGAAATCCCATCTGAAATAAAGTCTGGAAAAATAAAAATGATTTGTCAAATAAATCTGGAATATGAAACAAATGACTATCTGATAATTTTAAGACGTACCCAGTAAATTCTGTTTATTCGAAATAACAAAAATTTGGCAATGATAATGTATAACATACATTTTTAGAAAGACAATTAACAAATTAACTCTATTCACCTGAGCAAAAATCCAAAAGAAAAAGAAGTTGATGGTGGAGGACAAGGGACAACATTCGAATCATTTCATTTTGTAGAGGATAAAAAGGGACAATGTTAATCTGCAATTTATTGTCATGAAAAATTTAAAACGATTTTGTGAAAATCCGATGTTCTTTATTTCTCTTCAGAAGTACATTGAATTTCGAAACTTTCTAAGCGCAATTTATTGTCATGAAAAATTTAAAACGATTTTGTGAAAATCCGATGTTCTTTATTTCTCTTCAGAAGTACATTGAATTTCGAAACTTTCTAAGCGGCATTTTTCTAGCTACCTAAACACGCTACTTTGTTCCATTAGGCGACTACCGTTTCCGAGATCCCAATGGTGAGGGTTGAATTTGAAAACACGGTATATGTTATCCATTCAGAGGTAGACAGGGTGAGCCAGTTATCCGGCGCGTACTTGTCCAACAGAACTTCCCGGTATAACTTGATGTTCATAAAACTGTGAGTCATGTATTATGTATTTTACAAATTATCTAAATATATTGCCAAACAATAATCAAAGTTTCAGTCAATTGCGAAAACACGAGCTCTTATCACGCTAGCCCTTCTAAACCTTCATTCAATGCTCTTATCTGTAAATATTATCGATATATACCGTTTATCCTCTATTGTCCTCCCTCGAAAAGTAACACCCGGACTGGCAAGTGAAAGTTGGCATTAATCGTCATGGATACGTTGCTCTGGCGCCGGAAAACTTTGCCGGGGCGGAGGCGCAACCCCCATCGTCCTTCTTTTGTTACTTTCAACTGCTTACAATGCCGGCTCCGATTTGAAATAATACTCTGCGCTTGGGGTGACTACGACCCGACGTCTGAACGCTATTTAAATTCATATTTAATATACAGTTGATAGAAGAGTTGTTCCAACTCCGACCCTACGAGATATAAAAGGCAATGAATATTAATTGTACTTTTGTTGGTCTTTAAAAATTTCCATGTCTCTCTGTTGCTCCGGCATGTAAATGTATTGACTTAATTGGCTAAAGCTCCACTTGATCAATATTGAAGTTTGATTTCAGCTGTTATTATTCTGAAACTTGGAAATATTCTTAGACGCCCTTTGAGGTGGTACTACGATGTTTACTACACTGAGATTTTTTGCAGGACACATCAAGAAATAACAAATAAAGGGGTACCTATCTTGATGAAAGCGTCAAGTGTCAAGTATCAACAGACATGGACATATGAGTGATTTCCGAGTCTAGAAGTTGGAGCTGAGCAGTTTTCAAGTAGTCGATTTGCTTGTGCTTTGGATAGAAGGATGAAATGGCGTTCAGTTCTAAGATCTGAAATTGAAACATTTGTATGCTCCTAGGTCACACCAATAACACAATATATTTGAGAGCAGACCTGTAGACTGTTTCTCAAGCTTTTGATCGTTGACGATGGGTTAAATTCTTGAAATGAGGGTGTAGGGCATCCGATAGAAAGTGGGTGTGACTATACTATTTTTCGGTTAACTCTATCGCTCAGAAAAAAAGTCCACCAGGCTCAACTCTAAGGATATAGCGAACTTGAAAAGGGATATATACATTTAGGCAGCTGGATAGCGAAGTAATTAATGCTTTAATTTATAAATTCTTGGAAACTCAGATTTATTAAAAATGCGATGCTTTGGAGACTTCAGGCACATTTGAGCTTCTAAAACACTAGTTAATGTTGTGACTCTACTAACCTAGTCGCTGTGAGCTACGCGGTTTTGAATCCCGCCCCAAAATATTTTTTTCCTTAGCTACGAGGAATGTCTTTTAACTTTTGCATATACAAACATAGTAGGACGCGCGGATCGAATGTCAGTATAAATATTTTTTTTATCAAAATATTTTTTTTCTTTGCTACGTATATTATGTTATGATCAGCCTTTCTACGATATCGTTAAAGTGCTTTTTATGATATCGCTTGTAAAGTAAAGTAAGTTGTAGATATGTTTTGTAGCTACAATTGGCATTGGATCATCCTACAATACGTTGTGAAAAGCTGCTTCAATCCGTTCATTATACCTAGAGGGAGAATACGGGAAAACAACTTAGCGAGTTTGATAGGGGGCGAATAGTAAGCTTGTATGAGGCTGGTTGGTCGTTTAGTCTTGAGTGTGCAAGGGTGAGTGGACGGCAAGATGAAAACACGATTCTCAATTTATTGTATCGAGGCGATTGCTTAGAGAAGCAGATACCCGCCGTGAATTAAATCCAGAAGGTTGTAAAAACTATACTTCTTGCCTTATATACGGATGCTCATCAATCCACTTTTCCAACAAAAAATCCGCGACCACATATAGCCAGAACTACGTTGGTCCATTCCGAAGACAATTCCAATCTTTCACCGGCACTTTGGCACAAGGTACAAGTAGTCGGGGATAAGGTCCGTCCAGAGGAAATCAATCATCTGATTAGATGTATGCCCAGACGTATTTTTGAATATCGTGGAAGCCCAAGAAATTATTAATTTCTTAAATTTTTCCAACGGTTGGATTTTTCTGAAATGATGCTCTCATCATGACTGCAAACAGCTCCAATTTTGACAGTTCGGATGCGTACCAAGCAGAAATATCTTATGATACTAATAGACCACGAAGTAATAAACCTACAAAGCATAGCAAATCATGAGTGGAAACTTTGCAAATCAGGTTTTCGTGCTGTATGTGATAATAATTGTATGCAGAAGTAGATCCTGGCAGGATCACCTTTTAATAGATTTGTCAACTCTGTGGCTTTTACACTATTAGTAAAATACTCTAATTCATTTTATGATTGACTTTATTCTATCTAATCTTTGTTGCTAGGTATTGTTAGGTGGTTGCTCTGCACTAACAATATTTATACAGTATGCTCGTACCATACTACAGTAGTTTTCAGCGTCGACTTTGAAACATTGGAAGCACATAAAGATTGCAGCAGGTTATGTTAACATTAATCATTGCACAGACGCTGTACGCCATTTTCTACTCCCGCTAGATTTTCCGGAGCCATACCATCCTTGGCAACAGGATTGGCTTCATATGAATACTTGTATGTCTTACAAAGCTTAACCTTCTTTCTCTGACCCAAGTTCTCTACGTGTCATTTTTCTTCCTCATGAATCTGTCACTTTCTCATTTTTCCTGGTTGACAGCAGGTCACTTACAGATCGAATCGTGTCGCGTGCCTCGATTGTCAGCCGCCAAATCGCGTTAGCAGGCAATTTGACGGGTCTTAGCCTAGCAGGACGAATCTCGACGGCCGCTCGATCGCTAATATTTTGGTCACGTGTCAGCCACACGGCCTCCTTTGACGGCTTCATTCCCCCGCTTTTGACACTATCGCTTGACGCCCGTTTTAATATCGGATGCGGCGATGAGTCGATGCAAAGGCGGCGCCGGATTATTTCTTTATTACACTAGGCTAAAAAGTGTCAAGGGAAACGGTCGCTGTGATACGTTTGATTATAGTTTGATGAGCGTACAGGGTGTGACTAAAAGCATGTATACTTTATTTGAAGTCACTTGAAATAGCATAAAAACCTTTGGTCGGCGCGTCCTTTGTAATTTCATGACGTATCATAGGCATGCGGTCATTTATTTAGAACGATAATAATAATGTTTTTACATCACAATAAATGGATTTTACTATCTTCTTATTTTTTTGATTTGGGATAAAAAATACTTATATTGGGAGTTTAATTTATGTTGACTGAAAGTTAAGAAATGGAAAAATTACAGAATTCCAACGTTTGACATAGGCAAATATTTACATAGCAGGTAGGTATATAAAAAGGTATATAAAGACTTACATTATAGGTATTTATATATCATCCTCGCCTTCGGAGCTGTCGCTAGAGTCATCTTGTAGAGGAATTACAACGGGATTTACAGGAGGCAAAACACAATATTCATTTTCTTTTTCAATAATATGCCTAGAACACTGCTTCCATAGGTCTGTGGCAGCAATATGAGATACTGCATCTCTTATTGTGGCCAATAGCGATTCACTTAATTAAGGGGTCTGATTATGTTTTCTTAATTTTTTTTTAAAGCAGCCCAGACCAACTCAATCGGGTTAAAAATGCAGTAATAGGGAGGTAGACGTAATACTTCATGGCCATTTTGCTGAAGCAGATTGTCAACAACATACTCTTTTTCAAATTTTTGTCTTTTAATAAGATCCAATAATATGGCTTTGGTTGATTTTTGTGGTATTTCCATTCCCTTATCCTTCATAAAATCAATAATGTCTTGTTTTTTTGTGACTGTATTCGGAACTTTGTTTTTCTGTCGGGAATGGTATGGCGCATTGTCCATAATAATCACTGAATTTGGGGAAATGTTTGGTATTAACTGCTGCTCTATCCACTTTTCAAATAAGTCGGAGGTCATGTCCTCATGATAGTCGGCACATGATTCTTTGATATTTTTGGCAGATAACAGCAAGGCATTAGATATAAATCCATTTTCACTGCCAGCATGGAGAATAATGATTCGTTTCCCACGGTTGCATGGTGCATTTAAAATGAACTTGTTGCTGTCGTCAACCCAGCCGTACTGCACAACATCATGGGTATCATACCACGTTTCATCCAGGTAAATCAGATTTCTTTTCTGCTCTCTATAGATTTTAACTTTGTGCAAAAATTCTTGGCGCAATTCAACGTATCGAGACGACTCCATAATCACCATTATTTTATCTAATTTTTTGTATTGAAAACCACACAGTTTTACAATACAGTGCAGTGAGTCTAAGCATTTGTAATTATAAAAATCTTCAGGATAATCTTTTAATTTATCCCGTATCATTTCCAACGTGGGCACCAAATTTTCTTTATAAAATCCGTATAATATCTTCCTGAAAACCCACGTCTATTCTTTTTAATTTTTGCCCTATGGGCTTTCTGTGGAAGGAATGGTTGACTACATCTCCCCTTTTTATAACCCGATAAATGGTAGACCGACTGATTTTTGTCAGGATACAAATTCTGTTTAAAATTTGATTTTGCGAGGAATCTGGATTTTCGTTTTTCAGACAATCATACATATTTAGGATTACTCTTTAGGTCTGTTCCTCTAAATCTTTATGAAAGAATTCTGCCTGCACAGGTTCATCAACCATCTCCTCGTGGCTTGGAGCATTTTCCCAAGGTCTCCAAAGAGCCATATTTAGGACACACAAGAACAATCAACACAACAATTAAATCAACAAGTAAACTGAGTATTCAAAAGTCAAAAACACACAAACTAATAAAATCTATGAAAAAACACGGACAGACTAAAGAAAACACGTTTATCCACCGCTACACGGCACTGGCTAAACTGTTTCAATTTTCAGTAGCCACCTGCACTTGTTCGGAGCTCTGAAATACACGCTTTCTCATTGGCTATGTCCACGCATAGGCGTGCTTTACTCCACGTGGACCGGTGAAACTGCCTTTGATCTTATACGGGGGATATTTGCATGCGAAATTTGGCGATTTTTGCAGCAACAGAGCGTGTTAAATATAGATATATTAAACGCACCCGGTATTTCACAGTGCTTCAAGTGACTTCAGATAAAGTATACATGGACCGATTTCATGTGCCGGCTAAGCGTCCGACTGAAATCGACTATGTAAATAGGAAATCGAAGCAGCCGCGCTGGCGGAAGTCAAAATGAATGGGCAACGCGGCTACTATGAGTTTCTTAGAGAATCTTTGTTAACAGCCTAAGGTTAGTAGAACTGGGAGGATCCTCCTTATGCAGATTGGATGGAAGGTCGAAGTCAGGTGGGTCTGTCTGGCAGGCACATCGCGCCACAGCATCATGGAGGAGATTTCTGAGGAGCAAAGTCCGTTGGTGTAGCGCTAGAGGAAAGCTAGATCGCCGACGGCCCGCCGGCGCCGGAGCGAAAGGGTCCCGAGACTGCCCGTTAGAGACGAGTCTCAATATAGTTGGACAGCCCTACTGTGAACAGAATCAAGCATGGATAATGTAGTCGGGGCGGCGGCACCCCAAATATGTGAGCAGTAGTCGACGCTAGGTCTCATCTGGTCTTTGTACAGAGTGAGGAGGGACACAAGCTGTCAAAATGTTAAAACTAAAGCTTGCTCGCTTATTTGTGTAGGAGGTGAAAAAAATCCATGTCGTCTATTTTAGTTGTGATGCTTTGATGGGTGCAGTACATTCTCCAGAAACCAGCTAAGTACCCGTAACGGCTGACTAGGGAGCCATTAAGTTGCTCCCCCAAGTTTGATTTTCGGCAATAATTTAACCGCAACGATACAGGCAGTGGTGATTACGACAACCGCCGGAACATTAGTAACATTACGAACATAGGAAAA